CGGCTGCTTGGCTCCTGTGCTGTGACCTCTGCCACTTCCCCCTTTTCACAAAACCGCCTTCCACCAGCCAGGGCCCAGGGACCCCAGGACACCCGGGAAGGGCCTTTCCCGCCCCTCAGATCCTGTGGCCGCACCGAGGCCTTCCCTTGGCCCTTGGGCCATCCATCCAGCATCCCCAGGGGACCCTGGTGGGTCACAGTGAAGGAGTCTGTGTCCTGCTAGGCTGGCAGCTGGTGGGGAAGGGAGGGGGGGGAGGGGCATGCTCTCAGCCGCCCAGGTGGCCACACCTGTGTCAGAAGTCCTCCTTGATGTTGGTGGCCAGCAGACTCTGGAGCCTGAGGCTCGGTTGCAGGGTGGGGGGCACAGGCCAGCCCGGGCTGCTCCTCACCCACACCTGTTCCCAGCTGGACCCAGGGCCAGACCACAGCTCTGGCTGTCCCAGGGACCACCGGAGCCTGGCGTGACCCCTGCCAGACGGCCACGTTACCCCGGGGCCCCAGGCTGCTCACTTGTTCAACAAATATTTGTCCAGGGAGCTGCTGGCCACCTCTGGGGTCAGCGTCCACCCCGGGGTGGGGGACGTCCCTAGGGACAGAGTCCTGTGCTCTCCGGTTCATTTAGTCCTGGCAGCAGGGAGACAGGATCCCCACAGAGGAAGTGGAGGTGTTTGCTCTGGGAGACCCCAAATCACAGCTCTGTACGGCTGCCTCCCGCCCCCTTGCTCGGCCACTCCATTCATAGAGGCATCTGGACATCTTGCCACATTCCCCCAGGTCTGGGCTTCTGAGACCTAAGGCTGGTCCCCGGGGGCTGTGCCCTAGCCTTGGGGTTTCCCCAGCCTGTGACCTGTGCAGGGCACTGCAGAAATCAACCATTACCAGCTCAACCCTCCTATCTTTAGTCCTGGTCCTGGGGCTTGAACTCAGGGCCTGGGCGCTGTTCCTAGCTTCTTTTGCTCCACCACTTGAGCCACAGCGCCACTTCCGGCTTTTTGGTGATTAATTGGAGATGAGAGTTACATGGACTTTCCTACCCAGGCTGAACCACAATCCGTCGATCTCAGCCTCCTGAGCAGCTAGGGTGACGGTGCCTGGCTGTGCCTGACCTGTTGTGTGTGGCAGTGTGGGAGCTGGGGAGCTGCCACGAAGATAGGTGGGGAGGGACAGGGTAGCTGTCCCCCCTCACTCCTGCCTGTGGACCATGGCCACCCCCAGTGGTGTGTCTGGCCCCTCCCCCGGCAGGAGCATCGCCTGTGTGGGCCTTCCCTGGTCTCCCCGCCAGCTCCACCATGCTCCTCGCACTGGGAAGTTGGCCAGGTGGCATCACAGGGCACACACTTCTTTTTTTTTTTGGCAGTTGTGGGTCTTGAACTCTGGACCTGAGCCGCTGTCCCTCAGCTCTTCAGCTCAAGGCAAGCGCTCTACCATTTGAGCTACAGCGCCACTTCCAGTTTTCTGGTGGTTTATTGGAGATAAGAGTCTCATGGACTTTCTTGCCCGGGCTGGCTTTGAACTGCAATCCTCAGATCTCAGCCTCCTGAGTAGCTAGGATGACAGGTGTGAGCCACCAGCACCCAGCTAAGGGCGCCCACTTTCCCAGCAGGGGTATGGAGGCAGAGCTGGGCTGAAGTGTCCAATGCCTCATCTCCCCTGTCCACCCACCAGTAGGGTCAGTGCTTCCCACTCACTCCTGTTCCCCCCCCCCTACCAGCCAGCACCATCCTCAGGCACTGGGAGCCCTGCAGCTCCTTGGAAGGGCCAGTGGCTGGAGGCTGAGGCCGGAGGGCCAGCTTAAGGCTGTCAAGGGCAGTGGTGGCCAAGGAGTCTATGATGAGAGTCAAGAGAGAATAAAGCCCCGTAGTGACCCCCCGGGCTGGGATGCCTGCCCCACCCCTCCGCCTGCCTGCCAGTCCTTCACCCCATCTCAGACCTCCACTGAGGCAAGACCCAGGGACTTGCAAGTCCTGGGTCTCCTGGAGGGCCCTGGATCACACAGGGCCCCCAACGGGCTGAACCAGGGGTGCCCAGCACTTTGGGGCCGCCTGGCTGCCGGGACAGAAGGCTGGATTGAGAGGCCCCACCAGACTCAGCTGAAGCAGCTCCCTTCCTGCCTGGCCTTTCCCAGCTGCTAGCCCCACCGGGAACCTGCCCCAGCCCCACCACACCCACAGCCCAGCCCGCAGCCCCAGCACAACCCCACCCTCAGCAAGCCACACCCAGTCATAGCCACACCCACATCTATACCCCAGCAAGCCACACCCACAGCCACACCCCTACTCCAGCCACAGCCCAGCCACACCCAGTCATAGCCACACCCACATCTATACCACAGCCCAGCCACACCAGCCCCAGCCACGCCTAGTCATAGCCACACCCACACCCAGCCCCACCCACAGCCCAGCCCCACCCAGTCATAGCCACACCCATACCTATACCCCAGCCACACCCAGTCATAGCCACACCCACATCTATACCCTAGCCACACCCACAGCTCAGCCACACCCAGTCATAGCCACACCCACAGCCACAGCCTGTGCTGCTGAGCCCCCCACATTCCTCTGTGGTGCTTTGCCCAACAGTCCACAGTCCTCGTTCTGCTTGGGGGGGACACAGGAGAGGCCCCATCAAAACCCAACCACCAGGTGCCAGTGGCTCACGCCTGTCATCCCAGCTACCCGTGAGGCTGAGATCTAAGGATCATGGCAGGAAAGTTTGTGAGACAAGTACTAGCCTTGAGCAGAAAAGCTCCTGGAGGCCCTCAGGCCCTGAGTCCAAGCCCCATGGCTGATTAATCCCTCAGGCCCTGAGTTCAAGCCCCATGGCTGATTAAAACAAAAAGGTCTCTGGAGACTGTGGTGAGCCTGGGCCGGGCATCAGGTGCTGTGGAGCCTGGAGCACCGCTTGGCCCGTTGAGGGGATTCGGAAGTGGAGGAGGTTGGTGTGAGGTGCGCCCTCAGGACCAGGCGCAGGGGGGGAGGGGAGGGGGCAGCCGGCTCAGCCAGACTCAGAGGAATGTACCGCCAGCCATACGCGCTGCCCCAGCAGAAGCCTGGAAGACACGTTCAGAGACCCCCATTCCTGGCTCCTGGAATCCTGGAGCTGGCCTAGCACTGGAGGCCAGGAAAAGAGGCCTGGGCACCCTACTCTTGTACTCTGCCTACCCACCCAGCCCTTGCGGGGACTAAGAACAGGTGGGGAGGATGTGAGGCCGGCCCAGCCCCCTGGGCTGGGGGGCTTTGGGGAGCAGATGGGGGTGGGTGCCACTGCATGTCCCTATGGCACTAGGGACTGTCCCTCCCCCCTCCACCGGCCCAGCACTCAGTCTCCTGGGGCTGGGGTTGGGGAGCAGGCACTGCCTGGTCTGGATTTCCTCCAGACCCCGGCGTCTGCTGCTCTGTAGCCCCAAGAAGGGTGTGTGCACCCTGAAGACTCAGACGTGTGGCCCCTGCCAGATGTGGGGGGCGGCCGCCCAGAAGCATGCCCCGCTCCAGGCCCTGCCACTGCTGCTGCTGCTGGCCTGCCAGGTGGGCGCCTCAGCCTCTGCCCCGCCCGCGGGCCCCCCCCCCCCCCCCCCCCCACCGCTCACCGGCCGGCTCCCTCCTGTCCCTCCTGCTGCTTGTCCCTGTCCACAGCCACCGGCCCCCTCTGCCCAGGTGATGGACTTCCTGTTCAAGAAGTGGAAGCTGTACAGAGACCAGTGCCACTACAACCTGAGTCTGCTGCCGCCTCCCACGGGTGAGCCCCCCCAGGCCCTGCCTGTGGGAAGCCTTTCTGGGGGCGGTGGCGCTGCACCCCCGCCCTCTGCCCTGCGTGTACAGGTGAGGCGACCGAGTCAGGGCCTGGCGCAGAGCCACGCACCCAGGGAACAGCGGAGATGGCAGGCGCTCCCCGGGCTGGGCTTCGCCACCCTGTCCTGCTGCCAGCGGCCCCCGCGGCCCCCACGCGCCGCCCGGGACGCTGCCCTGGACAGACAGTGCACAAGGCCGGCAGCGGGGTGTCAGAGAACAGAGCCTGGAGGAGGTGGTGGGAGGGCTCGGGCCCGGATCAGCCACTTGGGAGGCAGAAAGATTGGGCAAGCGGCCCCCCGGGGGCTGTGCTGCCACCTGGAGGGGATGCGGGGTGTGGGAACCGTGGGTCAGGGAGGCCTCCTCCAAAGTGGGCGCATGAGAAAAGCGGGGGGAGAGCCCTGTGTGGGGAGCATTTGGGGACGGAGGGCTCAGAGGGAAGGTGCCCTGGACGCATTCAGGACCAGGCTGCCCTGGGGGGGAGGCGGACATGGTCTCCTCCTCGCCAGCCCCACCTGCTGAGGGACCCGTGCCCCTGCTCAGAGCTGGTCTGCAACCGAACGTTTGACAAGTATGCCTGCTGGCCTGACACGCCCCCCAACACCACCGCCAATGTCTCCTGCCCCTGGTACCTGCCCTGGTATCACAAAGGTAGCTTGGGGGCCCCGGTGGCGGGGGGGGGGGGCGGGGAGGGGAGGGTCCGCTGAGCAGGCCTGCCTCCCCTGGGGGGGGGGGTGTGGAGGGGAGGGTCCGCTGAGCAGGCCTGCCTCCCCTGGGGGGGGGTGTGGAGGGGAGGGTCTGCTGAGCAGGCCTGCCTCCCCTCCCGGGGGGGGGGTGTGTGTGTGGAGGGGAGGGTCCGCTGAGCAGGCCTGCCTCCCCTCCCCAGTGCAGCACCGCCTGGTGTTCAAGAGGTGCGGGCCCGACGGGCAGTGGGTCCCCGGGCCCCAGGGGCAGCCCCGGCGCAATGCTTCCCAGTGCCAGATGGACATGGAGGAGATTGAAGTCCAGGTACGCCCTGGGGGTGGCGGAGGACCCCGGGCGGGGCCGGGAGCAGCCCTGGGCTGAACGGCCGCTGTGCTTCGCAGAGGGAGGCCGCCAAGCTGTACAGCAGCTTCCAGGTGATGTACACCATGGGGTACAGCCTGTCGCTGGGGGCCCTGCTCCTCGCCCTGGCCATCCTCCTGGGCCTCAGGTACGCTGGCCACACAGGCTCCCGGGCAGTGGGCGCGCAGGGAGGCCATGGCGCTGACCGGCTGTCCCTGCAGCAAGCTGCACTGCACCCGAAACTACATCCACGGGAACCTGTTTGCGTCCTTTGTGCTCAAGGCCGGCTCTGTGCTCATCATCGACCAGCTGCTCAAGATGCGCTACAGCCAGAAGATTGGGGATGACCTCAGCGTTGGCATCTGGCTCAGCAGCGGGGTGAGTGGGGGGCCAGACCGGACCACCCCGGCCTCCCACCTGGGGCAGTGGGCCGCGGGCCGGGCAGTGCGGTCTTGGCTCACTTGCACCCTGCCCAGGCGGTGGCGGGCTGCCGCGTGGCTGCCGTGGTCATGCAGTACGGCATCGTGGCCAACTACTGCTGGCTGCTGGTGGAGGGCGTGTACCTGCACAGCCTGCTGAGCCGCGCCACCTTCCCGGAGAGGAGCTTCTTTGCCGTCTACCTGGGCATCGGCTGGGGTGAGTGGGCTGCGGTGGGCAGGGCAGAGGGCTGGCCAGCACACAGGGCCACAGCTGCCGCCCCCTACAGGCACACCCCTGCTGTTCGTCATCCCCTGGGTGGTGGTCAAGGGTCTGTTTGAGAACGTCCAGTGAGTATGCACTGAGGGCGCAGGCCGGGCAGCTGGGGCCCTGGGTGCCGGGGCCGGGGCGGGGTGCCTGGGCGTGGGGTTCCTTCCTGGAGGCGCTGTCGGACCCCAGTGGGACGGGGGGGCTGGGGTCCGTTTCACCCCTGCAGGTGTTGGACCAGCAATGACAACATGGGCTTCTGGTGGATCCTGCGGGCTCCCGTCTTCCTGGCCATCCTGGTGAGGACCGAGGCCCCCACCGGGCGCTGCCGACCGGGGCTCCCCCCCCCTTCCTTGGCCTTCCAGGGCCTGGAACAGCAGCCTGCTATGCAGCCTGGCCACACCCTGGGCAGTGGGCCAGGCTGCCCACCCAGGGCAGGATGCCCACGTCCCTCCGTACCACCTGCCCGAGGCCTGCTGGCTGTAGGCTCACTGGCAGGGGGGACACGTCTCGGGGGGTCACTGGCAGGGGGGACACGTCAGGGGGTCACTGGCAGGGCGGACACGCCGGGGGGTCACCCGGGGTGTGGTGGGCTCCAAGGACTGCCCTTTGACTGCCCTTGATGTGTGTCTGCCCCACACAGATCAACTTTTGCATCTTTGTCCGAATCGTCCACCTTCTCGTGGCCAAGCTGCGGGCCCGCCAGATGCACTACGGCGACTACAAGTTCCGGTGGGTGAGGCGGCCCTGGCCAGCTGCGCAGGCCCGAGACTCCCAGAGCCCCGGGACCGGGGTCGGGCCGGCGTGGGGACGCTCAGGCTCTGCCCCGCAGGCTGGCCAGGTCCACGCTGACCCTCGTCCCCCTCCTTGGCGTCCATGAGATGGTCTTCGCCTTTGTGCCGGACGAGCAGGCGCAGGGCACCCTGCGCTCCACCAAGCTCTTCTTTGACCTCTTCCTCAGCTCCTTCCAGGTGACCCCCTGCCTGCCCTCCCACCCCCACCCCTGGGGCCAGGGCCCCCTGACCACGCTCTCCCTCCAGGGCCTGCTGGTGGCTGTCCTGTACTGTTTCCTCAGTAAGGAGGTAGGTGGGCAGCTGTTGCAGTGGCAGCAGGACCCCGGGCATCGGCACATGCTCCCTTCTCTAGCTGTGGTGCCATGTGTACCCGGTGGGAGCTTGCTTTGCTCAGGGCCCACTCAGGACTGCAGCCGGGCACCTTGGGGAGGCCCAGCAGGGTGGGCTGGGCAGGGCCTGGGGGCCGGGAAGGCTCTGGACTGGCTCCAGGACTGGCCCCGCATCTCCAGGTGCAGGCGGAGCTTCGGCGGCGCTGGCGACGCCGGCGGGAGGGCAGAGTGCTGCGGGAGGAGCGGCTCTCTGGCAGCCACGCATCCCCTTGTCAGAAGCTTCAGCTCCTGAGGGACGGCAGCGGCCTCGGCGCTGGCCGGGACCCCTCCGTGGAGACCCCTTTGGCTGGTGGAGGGCTGTCTGAGAGCCCCACCTGAGTCCCCTCTCCAGCCTGGCCAGGACAGACCTGAGTCTAGGGCGGGGCAGCAGGGCCCACCCACTGTGGGACGGACTGGAGGGACGTGGGTGCTGTGGGAGCTGTTCAGGGCTGCACAGATGTGCCCTCCAATAAAGAGCTCAAGCAGTGTCCTAGGAGGCTGGGCTGGAAGCGTGTGGTGAGCGGTGGGGGGAAGGGCGTGAGGACGGTGGGCATGTCCTCTGTCTGTCCGTACGCAACATGGTTAGTGAGTCTCCAGGTGGCAAGCAGTGTCTCCTCCCTAATCCCCCCAAGCACAGCCATTTTTTAGGAGAAGGAACGTGGCAGCGGGGTGGTGGCTGAGGGAGGCCACTGGTGGCTCAGAAGATGCTGAGGGCTGGGCCTGGTGTCCCGAGCTTCTCCTGAGGGCTAGGCCTGGTCTCTGGGGGCTCCTGGTTCTAAGGCACAGCACAGGCTCCAGCCCCAGCCTGTGTGGCCAGGCGGGAGGCCATGTGGAGCCGTGGCCAGCCACGAGGCCACCCACGGTGGGAGCCTGCGTGGGATGGGGAGAGCCAGTCAGCGACTTGTGGAGGAGGGGAGGGGGGCAGGGGCACCTCCGGGAGAGCCGACACGTGGGCCGGAGCTGCTCAGGCACAGCTGGCTAATTGGAGCAAATGAACGCACCAGAGGCCACTCAGCGAAGGTAAACAATCGCCTGCTCAGGGCGGGCGGCGGCCGGGGTAGGGGGGTAGTGGGTAGGGCTGGCTCTGTGGCGGGAGGGGTTGCCTGGGTGACTGGAATGACTGGGCAGCTGCACCTGGGGGGGCCTGAGGTCCGGGCCCCGGACACCGGGTGTGATCCTGCGTGCGTGTAGCGGCCGCGTGCCTTGCTGTCCGTGGAGCTTGGGTGCGCTGTGGCCTGTTGGTCGGGCTCCTGACGGCCCTGCCCAACCCGAATCCTGCTGCCCTTGTCCTCCTGTACCCTGTCCCCATCCCTGCCCGGGAAGCTGGAGCAGGTTCACAACTGTAATCCTACTCAGGAGGCTAAGATCTGAGGAACATGGTTCAAAACCAGCCTGGGCAGGAATGAGATTCATCTCCAATAAACCACCACGAAAGCAGAAGTGGCACTTTGGCTCAAAGTGGTAGAGTACTCGCCTTGAGCAAAAGAGCAGCCAGGCCGAGTTCAAGCCCTACAACTGACCCCCCCCTCAAAAAAAAGGAATCAAGGATGAAACCCAGATGACTAAAGGCCTGGTGACGGTAGGGGACCTCAGGATGGGCAGAAGGCTCGGGAGAGACCCCCATCCAGGGATCAAAGCAAATGAACTCACCAAGTAGAGATTTTGATGAGTGGGTGGACAGTTCAATTTTAATCAGTGATCAGTACACAGGGGCAAAATGAGAGGCAATGACGCCACGCCTTGTGGCACATACCTGCCATCCCATCTGGCCCAGGCTATGCAGTAATATCCTGTCTAAAAAGCTGCCAGGGGTGGGTAGTTAAGCATTAGACACTTGCCAGCCTGGTTCAATCCTCAGCATTGAAGAAAAATCAGTAAGTCCAAGGAAAACAAAAACTTGGGAAGAAAAAAGTTTACCACATAGCTCATTTCTGAATACAAACACAGACATCATACTATAAACACTCAACTTTGATCTAACCATAAATCACGGGAAGAAAAAGAACTAGAGCTGGGTGCCGGTGGCTCACACCTGTCATCCTAACTACTCAGAGGCTGAGGATCATGGTTCAAAGCCAGCCCGGGCAGGAAATTCTGTGAGACTTCGTTGTTGTTGTTATCATCGTCGTTGGTCCTGGGGCCTCAACTCTGGGCCTGGGTGCTGTCCCTCAGCTCTTCAGCTTAAAGTGACACAGCGGCACTTCCAATGTTTTCTGCTTATGTGGTGCTGAGGAATGGAACCCAGGGCCTCATGCATACAAGGCAAGCGCTCTACCACTGAGCCACCTTTCCAGCCCAGTCTGTGAGACTCTTATCTCCAATAAACCACTCAGAAAACAAGAAGTGGCGCTGTGGCTCAAGTGGTAGAGCGCTCGCCTTGAGCTGAAGAGCTGACAGTGCACAGGCCCAGAGTTCAAGGCCCACAACCAACCAAAACAAAGAGAGGATGGTGGATACGGCACACAAGTATGTACTGAGGGTGAGCACACACACAGGAGACATAGTAACAATTCACATATGATACTTAGAAATGCAATCCAAAGAATGGGAAGAACAGAGAACAGGTGTCTGCTTGGGCGTGGAGGTTCATGCGATCAGGAAGCGGAGACAGCAGTTTGGGAGTCTGAGGCCAGCCTGGGCTATGAAGCAAGACCCTGTCTCAACAAAACAAGGTCTAGCTGCCCTGGAGGCCATGATCAGATCATGGTTGTAGGCCAGTCCAGGCAGGAGCCTTCACCAGCACTTACCCGAGCGGAGTAGGGAGCGTGCCTCACACGCCAGCTATGGCTGGTGTAAGCCAGCCTGGGCAAAAAGCAAACCTCAGCCAGAATGAAAAGGGCTAGAGATACAGTGCAAGTGCAGAGTCCCTATCTACCATGCATGAGGCCCAGAGCTCAAACCCCAGCTCCACAATTTAGAAAAATAAGTTCAGGGCTGGGAAGGTGGCTCAGGGGTAGAGGGCTCGCCCTGCATGCATGGGTTCTATTCAGTACCACATACACAGAAAAAGCCAGAAGTGGTGCTGTGGCTCAAGTGGTCGAGCACTAGCCTTAAGCAAAAGCAGCTCAGAGACAGCACCCAGGACTGGCCAAAAAGAAAAAAAAAAAAGGAAAAATGAGTTTACCAATACTCAGCTAACTTCCCTTCAACCCTGGTCCTCTGGAATCTACTTTTTTAGGGTACTGGGGTTGGGTTTTCGTCCTGCTTTTCTACCACCTCAGGGACTCTGTACCCCGGCTCCAGCCTCCACTTTAGACGCAGGCTCCTGCCTGGTGCCCCCAGGAGCCGGCACCTTCCGTTGTCCATGCCAAGCCTCCCCCAGCAGCTGCCCCGACGGGGCCCCTACCCAGGGTCCTGTTCTCCACGTGAAATGTTCTGTGAAGCGTCTGGCTCAGGATGACGGAGAAGCTGTTCTGTGAGCATGCGCCTCCCATCCCCAGACGTGAGCACCGGAGCCTCAGGCAGGTGCTGTGGCCCTCAGCCTCACAAGCCGAGTGACCTGCCTGTCGGGACTCACACTTGCAAGGCTGGCACTGGGCCACTTGAGCCCCCGCCACCCTTCCTGCTGGATATTATGGAATTTAGGCAACTTCCTGCCCATGACTGGCCTCAAACCATGGTCCTCCAGACCGCAGCTTCTTGAGTGCCAGGGTTAAGGCACATACCACCATGTCTGTCTGCACTGTGATGTGGTGATGCTCAGGACAGTTTATTAGAAGTTTGTTTGGTAGAATGAATGCCGCGCTGCAGCCTCTGTGGGTGGAAAAGCCTTGTCTGGCAAGGATCAGGGCAGCAACCTCGCCACCTTTGATGACGCGTGGACTCCTGAGGCCGGCTCGATGCCCACTGCCCTGGCCTTTCCCCAAGCCACGCCCACCGGACCACATGGCCCACACCCCAGCTGGTGAGAGGAGCAGCTAAGGGGCGGGAGGCCGCCCCAGAGCTGGCCAGGGCCAGGGTGGACACTGGGAGGGCTGTCCAACCCCCCAGCCTGGACGGATGACCTGCTGACTGCACGTGCGCCCTGTGGTTGGCGAACCCTGGAAGGGGCCGGCGTGCCGCAGGGTGGCTCTGCCCCAGTGTCACCCCTCACTTCTGCCAGCCCGAGGCAGGCTGAACCACAGCCCCACGCTCTAGCCCCATCTCCCACTTCTTGTCTGGTGTTCTAGCCTGGGGGCACCGGTGTGGGGCCCCTGCTCAGCACCCCAGGTGGCACCTAGGGAAGGGACCTTGTGCGTGAGGAGCACAGGCAGCGGCGGGGGGCAGGGGCCGGACCCCCGGGCTCCATACAAGAGCCACTCAGAGACTGAGCGCGCTGTTCCGGAGCTTTACTGCTCAAGGCTAGCGCTCTACCACTTGAGCCACAGCTCTGGGTCTGGATTTTCTGGTGGTTTATTGAAGACTCTTACGGACTTTCCCGTCTCGGCTGGCTCTGAGCCACAGTCCTGGGATCATAGGTGTGAGCTGCCGGCCAGCTCACACCTCACCATGCTGGCTAAGTGCTGCCTGGGCCAGCAGGCTCCGTCCACACCGGGCGCACGCCCACAGCAAGCCCTGGCCGCTCCCAGGAACGGCAGGCCACCTTGTCAGGTGCAGGTGTGAGGCGATGTACGGGGCAGCGGGCGGCCGGCACTCGGGCCTGGGGCGCGGCTAAAATCCAGGTCAAGGTCATGCGGCAGGGCCCCCCACCTCCAGGCGGGAGCTCCTGCCAGGTTCAAGTGCAGCTGGACCTCGTGCTACACCTCCAGTGGCCCAGTGATCACCCCAGCACTCTGATGGGGCCTCACCCACTCCAGCCTGGTCCCCGAGTCCGTGGTGGGTAGAGGGTATAAATACGTTGATGAGAAACATGTCAACCATCTATGCCGGCCCACCCCTCCCCTGCCCAGTGCTGGGTGCGGGAGAGCAGCCGAGACCCTGGCGGGGGACGAAGCCCCACAGGTTCCGAGGGGTGGGGTGGCACTGTGCTGCAGCTGCTTCTCAGGCCCAGTCCTGGCTGTGCCCGTTCCCTGGGGAGAGCTGCCCAGCCCACCCCCAGACGTCTTGGGCCTCTCAAGCCCTGGGATACTCTTCTGTGAAAGGGTGTTCCTGAAATAAGTTGTGTGGCTGTGCCACAGGAGCAGGGCCGTTCCGGGGTCATGTGAGCTCTGAAGATCAAGTGCAGCCAGGTCTTTCCTGGGCCCGGCAGCTGCCCCCTTCTCCAACAGCAGAGGCCGACCTCCCGCAGGAGTTCACCGACGGTCATGAAGGTGGGGTAAGGCCAGCAGAGGGTGTCCGTGGCTTCCAGGCCTCCACACGCACCAGGAGTGGCTTCGTGGAGGAGCTCCCGAGCTTGGGCACAGCTGGCGCTGCTCACAGCAGCCCAGGCGTTCAGTGCAGTTTCCCCTCCCCTGTCCTGCTGCGGGAGGGGACTCACTCACACGAGGGCCGCAGGAGCCCTCCCCACCTCGGGACTCCCGGCTGGGAGTGGCTGTCTGGGCTGGAGGGCGGGGCTGCACAGACTGCTGGGAGGCCAGTCCCAGTGCCTCCCACCTTTATTCACAGACCCTCGGGCTCCAGAGCTTCCAGAGAGCACAGGAAGAGGAAGGGGCCCTTCGTACCCTCCCGGCACACGGCACACCCCGGAGAGCCAGGCCGGGCTGGGCAGCACCATGCCTTCAGGACGGCCTTGGTGCCCTGCCCAAGAGCACCGGGAAGCCAGGCCTGGTGGCGGGGACCTCAGCGAGGCCAGCGCTGACCCAGGCACGGAGGGGGTGCCATTCTGAAGCTGAGGCAGGGAGGGGCAGGCGGGACAACGGGGCAGGGGAGTGGCGCTCCCAAGCTTCCGGGCCAGGGGAGCAGCAGGCGTGGGGCTGGGGGAGGGGCCAGCTGGATGGGATAGTCCTACTTCTTGGTCATCTCAAGGACAAAACCAGCCAGTCCCTGCAGCCCAGGGAACACGGCCCCTCCTCCCCTCCTCAACCTGAAGCGGCCAGGACGGGAGGTTGAGCGCAGGGACAGGTGACAGCACAGAGGGACTGGCAGAGCCGCACCCCTGCTTCCCCAGTGGCAATGGTAACTTGAGATGCCCAGAGGACAGCTAGGAGAGGGCTCAGGGAGGAGGAGCTGGCCCGGGGTTTGCGGCCGCCTCTCCCCCTCCCGAAGTGGGGCTCACAGACAGGAGGGAACCAACGTCACGTGCACCCTGATCTTCCGGAAGCCAGGGAAGGGGTGCCGAGGGCTCTAGGACTTCTTGGCATCCTGAGGGTTTCGGCGCTTCAGTTCACTCAGGTCGACGGGCTTGAAGGCTGCCAGGGACAGGGGGGTTGGTGCTGGGCCCTGCCCCCCGCCCCTCCCTCCTGGGTCCCGCCACTCACTCTTTAGGCTTGGGTTGGGGACCTTCTCCACATATTCCTCCACCAGGCCTCGCTCCCCGCCGGGCGGCTGGCTGCGCAGGTCTCGCTCCACGCCCTGCCAGGCTGCAGCGTGAAGGAGACGCTCACACACCATGCCAGCAGAGCCCAGACCTAGACCCAGCTCCACCTCCGCCTCGGACGCTGCCCGCCCCCTCTCCTCTCCTCTGCCCTGCTCCTCCTGGCAGCTCTCCCCACCGGGCTCTGGCAGCCTGACACCATCCCAGGCCTCCTTTCCCAGTTCCCAGGGCGGCCAGCTCACAGCCGCAGCACAGGCCGCGTGACTCCATCCCGCACCCCCTCGCCGAGTGCTGGCTCCAGATGCCAACTCTCTCGGGCCACTGCCCCTTTTCCTGTACTCTCCTCATAAGCGGCTGCCACCCAGAGATTCTACACTGCTCCCAACCTCTCTGGACCCCAAGGTGTGGGAATCGTGACAGGAGCCACACCCCAGGGCACAGGAGGAGCAGCTCAGCTTGGTAAATGAAGGCTCTGAGGGGAGCGGCTCACCTTCGTAAATGAAGCGCACATTCTCCTCGTGGGCAGGGGTGAAGATCTCGCTGCTGTTGGTGGGCGAGCGGGGGCTGCTGTTCCTTTTGCCGTTGTAGACCACTCTGGAGACGGGGGAGCTACAGGGAGCAGGTGCGTAGGTGAGGATGGCTGGGGGGAGGGCAGCCCCGCCCCCGCAGAGCCCCTCACGCCCACCTGGTCATCGCTGGGGTGTCTGGTCCTGGTGCTCCACTGCCAGTCCCCTCGGCCTCTGAAACAAGCGGCACAAGGCAGGGTGGGACAGCGCTCCAGCCGCCAGCAGAGGGCGCAGGCACAGCCCCCTCCGTGCCCAGAGTGTGGAAGGACCCGCTGGCGGCGGCCGGCAGCTCCACGCAGCCCTGTGCAGGCCACGGCTGTCAGATGGGGTCAGGAGGCTAAGCCCTGACACACAGATGACTTGGATCCTAGATGGCAGCGTCTATGACCTCTGCACCTCTGAGCAGAAGAGCTCCGAGGGCCCCCAGCTCAGCCCTGCTGCTTCCTTTCCAGGGACCCTCAGCTTCCGAACTGAAGTAGGAACCGGTTCCCTGGGGAGGAAGGCACAGCGCGGCCCTCGAGGGCCCTTGGCCAGCGGCCCAGCTTCCTCATCCCCTGGGGCTGGGGTGTAAGCGGTCAGTGCCCTAGGGACACAACCAACTAGGCCAGGACGAGGGCGTCCCAGGAGGAGGCGTGTCCAGGAGGAAGGATGGAGAGAGGAGGGAGGAAGCATGTCCGGGAGGAAGGAGGGAGGAAAGATGGAGGAAGTGTGTCCAGGAGCCTCCAGGCCTGACCAGTGAGCAGAATCCTAGGGCGCCATCTGTCACAGCCTTATCAGCCCAGGAGATTTTCTGCAGCCCTGGGGAAGGGGTCTCTTTGGGGGTAAGACAGTTACTCTGGCCAGCTAGAACACACACACACAGCTCCAAGTGAAGAAAACTGGGAGCCCACGACGCCCTGCCTTCCTCCAGAGAGAGCATCCTCTGGGTAGGCCAGAGGGAGGTTTCAGCACAATGCCCACCTGCCCATCCCCAGGCCCGGCGGCAATGCGCTCTTCCCTTCCTCTAGGCCCGCTGAGCCGTGAGGCAGGAGGAGAACTAGGCGGAGTCCGTTCCCTCCAGGGAACCGGGGCTGCCTGCTCCCAGGCCTGGCTTCCAGCCAGAAGCAGCACTCGCCCTAAAGCTCACGTTTCCTGGAGCTAGTCTCTCTCCTGGTGCTCTCTAGGGCACTGAGCCCAAGAACACCAGAATCCGGGACAAGCCTTCCTGAGAGAGCACGACAGCGACAAGGGGAGGAAGACCCCAGGAGCAGAGGGCTGGCCAGGCCTGCCTCGCTGCGAGGCCTAAGCGGCCTCCGGACCTGGCGGGACTGGCCGCTCCTTCCGGACGTCCTCCCGTAGCGTCCCACCCCGCGCGGCCTCAGCACCGGTGGCTGTCCGCTTGCACACATCCCCTGCCCTCTGCTTGGGTGCACTGCTGGTGCTCACTTGGCTGGCAGCAGCGTTTGTGTTGGCTCCTCAGAGGGAAATCTGAGCCCCGAGTGTTGTTTACCAGCCAGGAATGAAGGAAGCATGACACCAGCTAAGCAAGGCCCTAACCAGGTGGGAGGGCAGGACAGGGCCGCAGGGCTGAGGGGCTTGGGAGTGGCCCAGGACTGCAGAAAGCGCCGGGACACACCCAGGCATAGGACGGTGGTAAAGGAGCAGGGGGCCTGCCGGATGGGGATGCTCCCGGGCCTCTATCTTGGGGCCTGTATCCCCCCAGATCTCCGTCAGAGACAGGGCAAGGCTGCAAGACTTCCTCAAGTTCCACACACCTCCCTGCCGATGGCCTTCTTCTTTCTGCCACATCATTTCCTTCTTATAGAATACTTCTTCTGTGTGTGTGTGTGTGGGGGGGGGTTCAGGAGGGGGGGAAGAGGGATGGCGCAATTCTGGTCTTGAACTCAGAGCCTGCTCAAAGCTAGCTCTCTATCATTTGAGCCACAGCTCTGCTTCTGGCTTTTTAGTGATTAAAGATAAGTCTCACAAGCCGGGCGCTGGTGGCTCACGCCTGTAATCCTAGCTACTGAGGAGGCTGAGATCTGAGGATTGCGGTTCAAAGCCAGCCCGGGCAGGAAAGTCCATGAGACTCTTATCTCCAATGAACCACTCGAAAACCGGAAGTGGTGCTGTGGCTCAAGTGGTAGAGCCCTCCTGTTGAGCTGAAGAGCGCAGGGACAGCGCCCAAGCCCAGAGTTCAAGCCCCATGACCAACCAAAAAAAAGATAAGTCTCACAGACTTTCCTGTTCAGGCTGGCTTTGAATCATGATCGTTAGATCTTAACTTCCTGAGTAGCTAGGAGGATTACAAGTGGGAACCACCTATACCGACTCTTCTGTGTCTTTGAAAATGGGCTGCAGCTGGCAATCACTAATACGTCAGCTTGGCAGACTACACTAAGGCAGCATTCTTGATGGTAGGGTCAAATCTGAGGATCCTCAGACGGGCGTCTAGCCCACAGACCTCCCCCCAAAGCATCTCCATCAGTGCACGTCTCCCCGCCCACTGCCTGCACCCCCAACTCACACATACCCCAACAGCCACAACAGCCTCCCCACTGAGCTACTCAGGAAACTTGACATCTGAGCATCACAGTTTGAAGCCAACCTGGCAGAAAAGTCTGTGAGACACTTATCTCTAGCTAAACAGCAAAAATCTGAAAGTGCAGGCCTGGCTCAAATGGTATAGCACATCCTTGAACAAAACACCCAAGCAAGAACGAGAGCCTTGAGTTCAAGCTCCAGTACCAACACAGAAAAAAAGAAAGGGGGGGAAGGGGGAAAGGAAGAAAGGAAGGGAGGAAGGAAGGAAAGAAGGAAGGGAGGAAGGAAAGAAGGGAGGGAGGGAGGAAGGGAGGGAGCGAGGGAGCGAGGGAAGGAGGGAGGAAGGGAGGAAGGAAGGAAGGGAGGGAGGGAGGAAGGGAGGAAGGAAAGAAGGGAGGAAGGGAGGGAG